ACACAAAACAGCTGTAGTCTCACTTTTCAGGTATTGTTTTATATATATATATAATATATGTCACTTGTTCTTTCCTCCCATTCAAACACACTTATGTACAACAAAAAAAGAAAACCACAAGACTTTTTGGGAGCCATCAGACCTGGATACCAGTCTGCACAAAAACACAACACAAAACAAGACAAAAGATCTTAAATTATGCATAGCTTAAGTTATTGACAGAAAAATAAAACCTTACCCCCCACCACTTTCTCACTTTACAAAACAAATAAAACATTGGGATGCAAAGGCGAAGATCGAGGCGGGTTTTAAGAGGATAAACAACACGTATGCCTGTATGTACATGAGCGTTGGAGACAGTAAACAAACTCAGTGCTGTGACGCTTTCCCCAAGAGTCCGTCAGGTAAAGTAGGACAAAGGAATGATGATAAAAGAAGACGACTTCCCTTTCTCTAAGACAACCTGTGAGACGTTTTTCCTTCCTGCTGCATTTAACACAGAGGCTACTGTTTTTTTCCTTCAGAAAATAAAAGCTATTTCCTTTGTGTTAGATATTGCTTCCTCATATGTATGTGCAGCATTGAATCACAACCCCTGCTCATGTTAAGAACACAGATTAGTCTGTTATAGAACAAAAAAAAAAGTGCTTTAGATGAATATTTGGCTTAATATCAGCCAGACTGTAAGTGCAGCGAGCTGGATGGGAATGTAGAGAGATGTGTGGACCCTCAGGTGGGTTTAGGGGTTAAAGGGCTGTGTAGTGTATACAAGCCTGAGAATCCTCATTCATCTAAATCTCCTATTAATACTCAAAGGTCCTAACGAGGCATGGGCCAATTATAACTAGGATACGGTAAAAAAACAAACAAAAACAAAATATTAATGCAACAAATTGCTTCTTACGTTTCCTATGGTTTAAATACATTTAAATGAGATGTCAAGGAAAGCACCACAGAGCCCCTCCCCTACCTGGTGCTGCATACTGCTGGTTAGTTAACTGAATCAATGATACGCGTCACTTTTGCTTAAAAAAGAGAAAATCTAGCGGTTTGGAAAGCAGCAGAGCGCCTTTTAACATTCTGTTTTAAAACCGCAGAAGGTACTCGTTAAATAGCAGATAGCCCCAGTACTTTTTACTTTTGCACATCTGCATTCCTCTATAAAGAAAATAACTGAAAACATTTAGAATATATACCAGATGAAAACAATACTTTGATCCATCGGGCGGTCTATTCTGCATTTTAATAATATTCATATAAAAAAGTAAAGAATATATTTCCTAATATCATCAAACTTAAACTGTTTGAGGGATTTATCAGGTTTTTTCTTCATAGCAATGTTTGTTTGCTTGTTTTCTTTAAGATCTAACCTGTTATAAAGATTTAAATTCTTCACATTTTGGTTAAGGACTAAACTTAAAATCTAAAAAAAAAAAAAACACACAAAAAAAAACACTTTTTTTGTCGGAGGCATTTTTTTTTTTGAAGCAAACAGATAACAGAAGGATTACTGGAATTATGCATCAATATATCTTGATTTCTATTCATCTACTGAAAAAGTGCACCAAAGTACATTCGTTTTGTTTTATTTTTGTTAATGCATTTAGTTTTGATGCATTGAATAAATAAAACAAGCAAAAGCGAGAAGAAAAAACTGTCTGACCTCAAGTTAACTGGTTGGTCTCTGTCTAAATCTTCCTTTTGAAATAATCTTTGCTTTTCTGTTTTAAATAAAAGTTAAATAAATTGTGTATTTTGTTGTAAAAACTCTAAAAAACACTCTATTTTCAGCACAGGTATAGCATTATAATCGAATGCTGGCCAAAAACATGCATCATTAAATCAGACTCTCCTGCAGCCAGAGGCATTTAATGCTGCGTCTCAGTTTTCAGAGCACGCTTTAAAGGAATGAAGGTATTTTTTTTTTTTAGCGGTTAAATCCAGCGAAAACCCATGAGACAAGGCGAGTAGAGACACAGGAGCCACAGCTTGAAATAAATACATAAATATATGCCTTGGTAAATGCAAGAAGACATATGCAGCCCAGGTTTGAGTTTGGCGAGGAGCTCATGACTGTAAATGTCACATCCGCATTCAGAAAGTTAAGGTCAGCGTCATCCTGGCATGCAGAAGTAGGACAGAACAACAGGCAGCACAAGGTGCAATTCATCCCATCTCATCTCCCCTGCAGTTCCTCTTCAGAGCCGGGAGACGGAGCGAGGCAGGGCCGTGACACCGGTGCTCAGACTAGAGCGGGGCCGACAGCCCCCCCTCCGTGCAGAGCGGGGCGTCTCGCAGTGACAGGAGCTGCAGCGTCAGCACGACACGCTGCTTGCTGAGCTCTGGCAGGAATCTGTCAGCCGTGGCGCCGTGAGAGAGCCGAGCGCCGCCGAGGTGGGAGACGGGAGTCTACCTTACACTTGTTTTTTTTTTTTGGTTCCGGCTTTGCTCAGACATTAGCAGCTTACCAGGGAAAAACTGCAATAGATTCAGCTAAAAAAAAACAAAAAACAGAAGGAGTCAAGGAGTTTAGGATGGATGTTAGAAACGCTCAGAAAGAAAAAGTGTCTTTTGCAGCCAAAAATTCATCCACTCCTCCAATACTTCACCTTATAAATATAGATATCTATATACATATAACACTGTTTTCATTATCGCTTCTTAATGCTGGGTGTGGTAGTTTGCTCAGCTGGGGATGACATTATTAAAAGTCAGGGCAGGTTCAGAGCAGGAGGCCATGCTGAGGCTTCTTTTCCTCCCCATCAGTGCAGCAGACAGGAGCAGAGGGAGGAGGAGGAAGAAGAGGAGCTGAGGAGAGGAGCGTAGGAAGTCAGATGCGATGTCAGCCGGCGGCGTAGCTGCTCAGGAAGGAGTAGAACATTGGCAGCTTCATGCGCTGCTGGTCCCGTCGACACCACGCCATCACCGTGCCCTCGCTGTTTGCCGTGTAGAGGTGGTGGCCGTCGCACGAGTACGTCAGGCTGAGTTCACCAGGAGAGACGGTTATCAGCAGCTTTACCAACGTATTTATGGAGAAAGTGGCTGCAGATAACACCTTGAATAGAGATTTATGAAGATCATGCGACAGAACTTACCTGATGATGGGTTTAAATGACTTCGGGAAGGTGATCTCTCTGACTGGTTTTAAATCCCATGTGCTCCACAACCTAAAAACAAAGAAAAGAACAATTAAACCGTTTCAAAGCCCTTTAAATAAATTCATCTTTCATAAAAGTTGAATGATCTAACAATGAAAATTTTAGAAAATACAACTGCCAATTTAATTAAGACTGTTTAGGCTTTTAAAATGTAAATAAATCTACCATCTACAGCTTTAAAGCCTCTTTCAGTTCAC